CATAGCAGATAGCTCTTGGCACTGGCTTGGATTTTATAGTTTTCATTTTTGCATGGTGATTTTTAATTGTCACTTTTAATTGTAGAAATGGAACTCCAGCATAAGGAGCTCTTTACATCTGCAAGAGATGTGGTCATTCCAGCTGTTTCGGTGATGACAGCTCTGGTTGAGAGAACCATGCCATCCCTTTTGAGTCACATCCTGCCAAGTGCAGCTCACAGTGTTAGAGCAGATGCAGCTTAATGATGTATGTTGGTGATTTTTAAAGCCACAATAAATCAATCATGGATTCTTCCTATTTAGAAAACTAATAATTGAGCATCCTCTCATTTTCTCACAATCACTGTTGACATTGGCGTATTGTTTTAAGCTGATTTTACTAGCTTGCTAAAGAAAGGCATTTTCAGAGAGTGAAGGAGTAAACAGGAAAAATAAAGTTCATCAGAATGTGAATCTTCCAAGAATGGCCAAAACAAGAAAAAGCCTAGAGATATATATATTTAAGATTTATTTATTTATGTATACAGACCTGGGATACAGGAGCGATGAAAGGATTCACTAGAGTCAGAATGGGGAGCAGAACAGGCAGATCAACAAAGGACACTGCTGAGGGGAGCAGGGGGTGGGTCAGGAGAGTTCTGCTGAGCCATGTGGGTCACCTCAGGGGCGGGGATGAAACTTGCATTGAAGTGGCTGTCACTAGCTTGCAGTGCTGTGTCTTAATCTGTTGCGCCACCAAGGAGGGCCCAGACCTTTTTATATTTAACACTTTCTCAGCAAGCATAATTTTGTCAGCATGCAACACTTGTCATAAATTCATGTTTTAGAAAGCACTTACTCTCTTACTATTTACCTTTCAAATTCTAAAATCTGACTCTTATTTTGTGGTGTACATGGTGAATTGTGTTATCATATATGCTTATAACATTATTACTTCTTTAGTCAGTCACTTTGTTAATTATTAAGGCACATGCCTTAGTTCACAATTATTTTGGGATCTAGTTATCTATATTAAGATCTCAGTTCCCACCCTAGCTCTCTCCCCTCAAGAGGTATGATTTCAAACTTGATCCAAAGCCAGTATGGTGGTTTTTTGATAATTATATTGCTTTGTTGTCTCTGCCTGAGGAACAAAAAGTGAAGAACACACTGTAATGGGACAATACGCTCCTTTCCACTAGATGGGAGTATGAGATAACTAGATATGCAAGTCTTTTATAGCTGAGCTGCAGTATGCAAACTCTTCAGCAGATTCTTACCAAATATAGATTTCTGACCAGTGTGGGAAGGGGATAAGTTGCCTTCCCACTGCTCCTATCTCTGTCTGTCTCTCTTTTTAGAACTGTTCAAGTCAGATATATTTTTAGTTTGCATACTTGACCTTAAAAAATTGTAGAATACAAAACCTGTATTCTGTAATCATTATTTCACACTTTTTTTTTTCACACTTTACTGTGCTAATATATTAAATTTTTATTTCATCAGTCATAGCACTTGTGGATAACAGTTTAGTTTCTTCTCTGATGAATCCTTTGACTTCTATTTTTTTGATTTTCCTTACTGCTCTGATTTATACTGTCATACAAATTTGTATTGTCATATGACAATATGAGTGAAGTGGTGACATCAAGGTTGGTTTCTTGCTTCAGATTCTGAAGTGAATGCATAAGAATTCTAAGTATGATGTATAAGAAGGCTTGTGGATTTTTATTTCCCTCTCAGTTTCTATCTATAGCTGAAATTACTAACCAAATGTAATCAGAAGAGGTACTAAAAATCATTGCATGTTTTTTCTGTATCTAATGAGAACAAACATTGTTAGTTTCTGTTATCTTTATTTCCTTCCTTAAATGTTGTATTTTTCCTAACTTTCTGAGTTGAACAGTTAGATTATTTTTACTTTTTCTTCATTCTAATGTGAGCATTTAAATTATGAATCTCTTCCTAAGTATCTTTTAGCTAAGTTCCATGAAGTAACAGTGTTTTGTCCCCAAAATGTTTTTGTTTTAGTTTGTCATTGTTTGTATTATTTACTTTTTAAAGAAATATTTCTAGTTGCTTTTTTGCTATTGATTTCTAACATAATTGTGTTCTGTTCAGATAGTGTTAAGGATGATCACTCCTTGGGCAGTTCTTGAGATTTGCATTATGATATAGTATGTATTCATTTTTTTTGAAGTGTTTTAATTGCTTCCCAAAAGAAACAAATGTGTAATCTCTAGCCCTTGGGTGTAATATTTCTTGTGTCTATTATACCAGACTTGTAAATTGCATTATTTAAATTTATTTGTAATTCTTTTGTAAATCTCATTGTTATGATGGGTTTGTTGATGTTTCAAATTGTTACATCATAGTGTTTTTTAAATTTTTGCTGTGACACTAATATTAAGAAAAAAAGCATTAAAGTCTAACATCTAACATATTTTGCTGGAATTGGACTGGGCTTATCTTTTTTGGATCCTTATACTTTCATCATTTCTATGCCCTCACATTTAAGTATCTCTTGTAAATCTCTGTTGTGTTATATAGCTTAAAAGCCACTGACTTTTTAATTGGAGAATGAGTCCACATATTGCTATATTTGTATTAAGTCAATCATTGTAATTTGTACTTTCTGTATATCCTAATTATTTATTATTATTATTTTTTGCCTTTCTCACTGCCTTTACTTTGACAAATTCCACTTTCATGTTTTCATTTTAGTAGTCCAGAAATTATCTACAGTGTGTTTCTCTCTGGTTTTCTAGATCTTTTTTTTAACCTGCATACTTAGCAACCTCTAATGTAATATATATCTTTAATATCTCTGGAACAATGTAAGGATGATAGGATGACTTTTTAAAATATCAGATTTTCTCCTTTGATTTGTATGCCATCAGTACGTTTGTGTTCCAGATCTTTTTTTTTTTTTAAGAAATAGTTTACTGATACAAATATATAAAAATCAAGACTCCATTGCATCCTTGAGCGACTAAAGGGACATATCATCATATAAGTCCAGGAATTGACAATCTGGGCGCACACCACTGCACCCTGAAAAAGCAGGAAGACCCCAAGCACTGGCTTATATTCTAGTAACACAAAGTCTATCATTTGTTTCTGCCTCTGTCATCTTTCCTAGTTTCTATTTCTGTGCTGAACCCCTTCCTGAATCCTCACCTCTTCCCTCTACTTTTCTCTTAGGAGGTAAAGGTAACCTGTCACCTCATTTGTGTATGTATTATTCCTTAACTTCAGAATCAAGCTCAGTAGCACTAGACATGTGCCTCCCACATGTACTTTATACACTTGCCCCATTGCATAAGGCATTTTAAACTTATCAATAGTTCAGTTTCAGAGACTTCTCATTAAACTTTCCCCCTCATATCTGTTCCTCTTTTTTTATTTGCTCATTTGCTAGTTCCTCTTTTGTATTTACTACCTTAATAAATTTCATTTCTTCTGCTGACTTATTCAATCCTGAAACCTTTCTTTCTTTCTTTCGCCCTCACTATCTACCACAGAGTTTTGTAAGTTTTACATTCCAAGAAATCATAAATCTTTAATCCAAACTATAACACATCTTATATGCATCGTGATAATAACCATCCAAGAGGCAAATTCCATTTTTGAAATAGCCAAGGTTCTGATACTTAGGACCATGCCATCATGAGTCGGATGCACCACTGACTTGTTATGTGAACGGGTCTCCCTGTTTCCAGTGTGTCACCCCTAGTCTGTTGTCACATGGGAGGTATTACAACATTTGAAAAAAACGCTATAACATGTTATTCCATAACCTAAAAGACTTCAGTTCCTCCTGATTGCTCTTATAATAAAGGAAAAATTTCTGAATAACCTATAAATTCCTATATGATGCCTGCCTCTGGCCTTGTCACTATGACATTTATTTATTGCTCTAAGGGAGCAATTTCTTTCCTAACTGAGAAATATCACAAATATTTATTCTACTCAAAGTGTTGGTTGACACCTACTTCTGCTTTTCCCAAAAACACACACACACAAATTTATGCTTATGTTCTATGCATCCTATCACCATAAATGCAGTATGTGTGTGTGTGTGTGTGTGTGTGTGTTTAATATCTATTTTCTCAATAGGATATACATAGTGGTAAATAAAAATCTCTTTCCCAGGATATAATGGCCCACTTTTAAAAAACATTATGTTCTAGTAAATCGCTTGACACATGACATTCTTATTGTATATGCATGTATGCATGAGTGATTGATTATATTCTAGACTAGATTGGGGGAGGGGGTGTTATTCTTCAACTGTGAGTAGCACTGAGACAGAAACTATTTATCTTTTTCTACATAACAGAACACCTGGTAGATGGCCGCTGTTTGATGAAATAAAAGAAAGGAAGGGAAGGAAAAGATAAGGGGGAAAGAAAAGATTTGAAAAGAGGACAAGGAAGAAAATGACAGGGGTTATACCTAAGCCTGGATTCTAGTTCTTGTTCATAAAAAACTTATTAACTTCCCTACTTTTTGCTTTTTAAAAAGTTGTATAAAGGCTTTGAAATGTATTTATACAATAAAATGTAAACCATCCTTCTGAGATAAGTTTTGGTGGCAGTGGTGATGAATGGTGTGACCTAACTTTCAAACTCTAAAGCAAAGGTATATTTTTTATACTCTCGTTAAATTTATGAACAGCTATTTCGTGTACCACCCACATACACATAAATTACTTGCTTCCAGTAATAAAATAAAAATTATGGAGGCAATTTCTGAGTCTTCGCCACCAGGCAACAGAGCTGAGCTGTAGCCACAGTGTGTCTAAAGATGCAGAGGCACGGGGGTCACCGTGTCCTCAGCCCATTGCCTTCTCTGGCTTCCCAGAGAAGCAGCCTTCTGGGTGTCTTACTGGGTATCTCTGGGTGTCTCTGCTCCTGGGAGAATGTATATGAAAGTACTGTATAAACTATAAATGTATTAACATAATTTTTAATGATGAGGTATAATTAATCATTGCTTACTAATCTTCACAATTTTAGAAAAATATGTCGTAACTGCAAATGCGGCCAAGAAGAGCATGATGTCCTCTTGAGCAATGAAGAGGATCGAAAAGTGGGGAAACTTTTTGAAGACACCAAGTATACCACCTTGATTGCAAAGCTAAAATCAGATGGAATTCCCATGTATAAACGTAATGTAATGATATTGACCAATCCAGTTGCTGCCAAGAAGAATGTCGCCATCAACACAGTCACCTATGAATGGGCACCTCCTGTCCAGAATCAGGCATTGGTAAATAATAGTTGGGATGGGGGGTCACTATATTTAAGTTCCTGGATTATTTGTTTAGAGGAATGCCTTTAGTGACTTATCAACATTGGGTCTGCTATTTTTTTCTGGGGTTTCAACTACTTTGACTTTCAACTCCTATTACAGATTTCAAAAGTAAATTAAGATTCCTCATGGAATTTTATGAATATCTTGATATGGTACCAATTTAAAAGTACAATTCTTAGTAATTAGATACAAAACAGATGTTTTGTATAAACTTAGTACCTTTTATAGCCTTCACAAGGTTTTTTCATAGGATAATAAAGGATATCTACAGAATTTAATTTGTCATTTTATAGAACTGAAAAAATGTTCAGTACTATTATTTCTTTTACTATGTAAGGTGACAAAAATACAATTTTGTATCAAGTTCCTTCTGTTATAACAACCAGATGAGACACTTGGACATCTTTTAAGGTTAGTTATATCACTAAAGAGAATCTGTAATGATTATCGTTTTATAGTGATAAAAATACTGCTGATCTATTTTCATGCTGCCTAAAAATCTGTGTTCTCTTGCTATTGTACATATGTATATTTACTATAAGTAAACATTAGTAACCCAAATCTTTTTACAAACTGAAAAACTAACTTTTGATTTCATTGAGAAAAATATTTTTCTGTTTATAAAGCTAAGTAGATAGGTAATTTCTTGTACATCTCAAGCTATTTATATTATGAAGATTATTACTAAAGAATAAAACTGACTTTTTCTTTAGTCATTGCTTTTGACATGTGTTCTACACTACACCTATCTGATCACCAATGCACCACCTAATTAACATGGTCTCCTTGTGGCTCAGGCCAGGCAATACATGCAGATGCTACCCAAGGAGAAGCAGCCCGTGGCAGGCTCAGAGGGAGCACAGTACCGGAAGAAGCAGCTGGCAAAGCAGCTACCTGCACATGACCAGGACCCTTCCAAGTGCCATGAGTTATCTCCCAAAGAGGTGAAGGAGATGGAGCAGTTTGTGAAGAAATACAAGAGCGAGGCTCTGGGTGTAGGAGATGTCAAACTTCCCTGTGAGATGCACGCTCAGGGCCCCAATAAAATGTACCTCCCTGGTGGGGATCGAAGCACCACAGCAGCAGTGGGGGCCATGGAGGACAAATCAACTGAACACAAAAGAACTAAGTATGTAAGTAGAGTGACCAATTGGTGTTTTTGACAGTTGTTTTCTCTCTTTTTTTTTTTTTTTTTAAGATTTATTTATTTGTGCATACAGAACTGGGGTACAGGCCAGAGGCTCAGGGATGGTGAGAGGCTTCACCAGAGACAGAGTGGGGAGCAGAACAGGCAGATTGACGAAGTACACTGCTGAGGGGAGCAACGGGCGGGTCAGGAGAGGTCTGCCACGCCATGTGGTCACCTCCGGGGCAGGCGGGGATCGAACTCATGTGGAAGCTGCTTTAGATTCTCAGTGCTGTGTTTTAACCCGCTGCGCCACCAGGGAGGGCCCTGTTTTCTCTTTTTCTGAACCTCTCTGGAGTCATTCCTGTTTCCCCAAAGAAGCAGGTGAGGGAAATCAGTTGCATTAAAATTCAGCTGAAGCATAGAGAATCATCATGCTTTTGAAGCCTCTGTCTAAAGCCAAGTTTTCTGATTATCTGTTGCCAAGGATAATTGTGAGGTTTATGTATACATAGTAGTTGGCATTGGTATCATGCTGGAACACAACATAGTAATCTACAGGCTGTTTCTAAACATAATTTTAGTGTTAATTGTTTAACTATAAATAAGAATAATATAAGCTTATGTTAATTTACTTTTGCTTGTGAAAACATGCCTAAAATTCAAACTTAAATTTTTGTGGGTATATGGTCAATGATTAAAAAAACCTCTTGTAAATAGGAAAATTCAAATCTTTTTTCATGCCTTGATGATAGAAGAAATTTGACTAAAGAACAAAAATTAAAAAGTAAACTTACTGTAATATTCCTTGTAGATCTAGTCAGTATACCAACCAGTAAGACTTGTCCTCTGTTTAAAAAAGGAAAAATAGGACTTATAAGCTCAAAGTAATCATTTTTTGGGGAAAAAACCCTTAAAATTAAGGTGAAAATTCTATTAGCTTTTCTCATAACTAACTTTAATTCAGGGAACACTGCTATATATACAATGATATATATATATATATATATATATATATATATATAATGCTATATATTGGAAAGAATTATATATAGCACATATTATATAGCATATATAACACACATATATAGCATATATAGTATATATATATAACATTGTTATATATGGAAAAGAATTATATATATAGCACATATTATATAGCATATATATAGCATATATAGCACATATATATAGCATATAACACACACACACACACACACACGGGCAAGAATTAGTTTTAAATAACCTGGATAAAGCCAAGCGATTACATTTCACAGAAATATTAACACTTTGTTGTCTACATTGGCAAATTTCTAATTTCTAGAAATCATTTCTCTTGTAAATTGTTTGTCTAAATTCCCAAACTGGTGATTGACAGTCTTGTGATGACAAGATTGTTGTGTACGGCTTTCTTTCAGTCTTGCTACTGCTGCAAACTGAGTATGAAGGAAGGTGACCCAGCTGTCTATGCTGAAAGAGCCGGCTACGATAAACTATGGCACCCAGCTTGTTTCGTCTGCAACACTTGCCATGAACTCCTGGTCGACATGATTTATTTCTGGAAGAACGGGAAGCTATACTGTGGCAGACATTACTGTGACAGTGAGAAACCTCGGTGTGCTGGCTGTGATGAGGTGTGTTCTCTACGGGACACTGGCAGGCAGTCTCCATTTTGTACTCCTTAACATTCTAACCAGATCACCTTTAGTGAGACCACAGAATTAATTATCAGTTTTTTTATTTCTAACAAAGTTGAATGAAACATTCCATTTCATTCATTCTGTATTGACTAACAAAATACTTCGTAGTAACATAAAAGAGGAATTTCAAATACATTAAATAACATACCTGCAACCTTTAGATTACTACCAAACTTTAAACCCAAGTAGGTTGATCGATACACATAAAGATCAAAGTCCCTTACTGTCTGAAAAAATTTAGCTTCTTCATTGTTAGCCCCAAATAAAAACAACTTATTTTTATCTTCCCAGCTGATATTCAGCAATGAGTACACCCAGGCAGAAAACCAGAATTGGCATCTAAAACACTTCTGCTGTTTTGACTGTGACAGCATTCTAGCTGGGGAAATATACGTGATGGTCAATGACAAGCCCGTGTGCAAGCCCTGCTACGTGAAGAATCACGCTGTGGTAAGAAGCATGCTAGGGAGCAGGTGTCTCAGTCTGCTTTATGACTTGAACTTGGGTGTTGTTAGGCATCTAACAAATGAGAAACAAAGTATTACTCTTAAGTTGGAATGTTTTTCATTATAGAAATCAGATTCCATTTAAATCAAGTTCCCTAAGGACTGTTCATTTTCTTTGACTTTATTTGGGTGTTTGTGTCTGTTCATATTACCAAATCATTCACTGGGTCTTTTCATTTTGCAACCTGGAGGTGTATGATACTTCTTTTGTAAACATTCATTGATTTAGTATAACTTTTTTTTCTTTTATTATAACAAAATCTGACCTCCATATCTAGATTTATTTGCATGGGCCATGCATTCAGGTATTTAATGAGAGACCATATTTTTTGGTTGAATCAACCCTGTTTACAAAAGTTGCTATTGCATTATGGCTAAGAGATAGGTCACTAAGCTGTGAAGTTGTCTGAATTCTCTACATATCTTAAATATTCACTTATTATTGGATTCATAATGTGCAAATATTTCCTCATTCATTCAGATACCTTTTTGTTTTAATGACAGTAAAACACTTATTTCTGTTGTATTCAAAATAAGGTATTGATTATGCAAAGAGAATAACCCCATTCTCAGTGAAGACTGAGTAACATGAATTATGTATGAATTATGCATATGAATAACATGAATTATGCAACTACAGTCTCTATAATTAGAAGCCAAGTGTCTCTAAAAGCTATAGAAAATTGTAGGTCTAATATAGATACCTGTAATAAGGCCTCACTTCACACCCTAAACCAGTGTTCCCACTAAGTAACAGCCATATTCTAAGGTCTTTTCAAATCAGACCCCCCTCAACCAAACCAACCACCCTCATCTCAGTAACTCCTGATACATTAGGAGTCCAGGAGTGCTGAAATCAATTACTTTTATGCAATGCTGGACTATCTTGTTGGTTTTTAAAATCTTACGGTAGCTACATTTACTCAAAATACATGTAAACAAGAAGGCTATAAACTGTCTGTCTAGTGTTCTGTTTTTACTGTGGTAATACTGAAGGTTAATCATTCATTTTCATTTGTGTTCAGAAAAAAGAAAGTTTTGTTTGAGGGTGTGGATGACATATTTGCACATAATATGTATCTACATAGAATGGTATAGGAAATATATTAATATTTTACAATATAACATAAATTATGAATTAGAACAGAAGTTTGTTAACTACAAGTTTTATTTTTAGTGCAGACTACATCCTTAAACACAGTCTATTTGAGCTCTTCAGTATCTTGAACATAATTTCAGTTGTGGTACATCATTCATTCTGAAAGTACCACAATTTGTTTATTCATTCACCCATTGAAAGGCTTCTTAATTGCTTCCAAGCTTTGGCAGTTATGAATAAAGCTGTTTATAAAACATCCATGAACATGTTTAAGTGTGAACATAATTTTTTGGCTTCTTTGGGTGAATACCAAGGGGCATAATTATTAGATTGTATGAAAAGGTGTGTTTATTTTTGTAAGAAACTTCTGTAAATTTTGTATTCTTACCAGCAATGAATGAGAGTGTATGTTGTTCCCCATGGGAAACATGGGCACCCAAGGGCACTCTTTCATTAGACTAGGCCTCAAACACCATGAGGTGATCTTACAAACATCAAATCACCTGTTTGTTCTCACTTTACTCAGCCTATATACCCCTCCATTAGCATTTGTTGATTAAAAGATTAGCTGGAAAGCCACTTTTGGTAGTATATTTTTGAGGTTGTCAGTGGCAATTTCATTTACCATCTGAAGAAATGTATTGTGTTTGTTCTAACGTGAAAATATTACTGCCGTAGTTTGATTGTTCGTTTTTTTATTGTATGATGAACAGGTATGTCAAGGATGCCATAATGCCATCGATCCCGAAGTACAGAGGGTAACCTATAACAGCTTCAGCTGGCATGCATCCACAGAGTGTTTCCTGTGCTCCTGCTGCAGCAAGTGTCTCATTGGACAGAAGTTTATGCCAGTAGAGGGGATGGTTTTCTGTTCAGTAGAGTGTAAGAAGATGATGTCTTAGGAGAGAGCACCAAGCATATTGAACCGTAGCTATCCAAAGTGGTCTACATTTCTATTGTAAATGCAATTTGGAAAAAATAAATGGAAAAATAGAAACTGTAACGGAAACTAGGAAATTTTGTTCGCTGTCTTTCTTCACTGTTTTTTTCTGATCATTTTTTTAATGCCAACTTTTAAAACCTGCTCTAAGCATTTGATTTTAAAAACGGTAAAGAATTTTATCTTTCCTTAGCTTTCCAAGATGTAATATCTTTGAGTTGGAAGCTTGGTTTTAGTTAATCTCCACGTCCTTATCCCACTTGTATCAAACAGTATGTAAAATTCTTAAAAGTTACTATACTAACTGGAAAGATGAGCTTTTCTAGTTCTATATTCTTTTATCCCTTATGTATAAAATTAAAAGGGAATTAAACTTGTCCTAATGCCAAATCTTTACATTTATTTTCTCATTTTTTCTCTCTGAACTTTGTAATGATACACAGCTAATTCTCTTGACAGAGAAAATAGAAATGCAGCATAGTATGGAGAGATGTTATCATTTAATGCCTATGCATTCACCATTTCCTTATGAAAGGATGAATGGCTTTATTGCATATCTCTATTTTTTATTTTTATCTTTTTCCTACACCTCAGTCTTCTCTCTGTAAATCGGTGACCTCCATCTGTGGCCTTGATTATTTTGTCACATGTGGCATCCACACTTTACTATAGATATTCTTAGCTTGGATTTATGAAAAGCAAACCATTCATTTATGTTTCTAATCCAAAGAACAGGTATACTTCCTGTACCCGAGAATATGTAACTTGTACTGATTGCACTTGCATGATTTGGATAAAAAATTTTTTGCATGGCTTTCATTCTTTTCTGATGAATGGTGTCATATGAAGCTTGTAATTGTCCATTGATGGGTATGTTGAATGTGTTTTTTTACCATACACTTCCATCATTAGGTATTTCTAATTTTTCTTTTCCCTGTATACTTCCATACATAGCTATGCACTATGAAAAGTAAATGGGATGTATATGTGTATTATTATTCAAAATAAAGTCTTCACTTTAATAATTGTACCTTCATTATTCATGTCCTTTTCATCGAACAAAAAAGTAAAATAAAATTTCTCTGCAATTAAGCTTTTGTTACAGCAGGGGGCGATGTCTCCAAGGGTTAAAAACTACCCAAACCAAAAGTAAAGGCTACTTGATAGAGTACAGAAGGATATGGTATTTTTTTCAACTTTAAAATAAATCAAAGAATTTACCAGCTAAGTTGTTGGAATTCAAGAATGCAAGCTTTTCTTTCAGAAAAGTGTTGTTTAGTTTTATAATTCATAGAAAAAATCATTTAACAAATATTTCTACAATGATGTTTTAATTGAGGTAAACTTGCATTATTATAACATCATGTAAGTAGATGCACATCATTAAAAAATCAACGTGATTATATACTACATTAAGTTCACTAAAATTGCAGTTTTAATTTAACTTTGGGAAAATATTATCTTGAGATAAATCTAGTAAATAGCTCATACTCAAATTGTAAGTGATTTCTAAGAACTTTTTCATGGCAATCTTATGAAAAGGAAGTAAATGTAGATTTATTTTTCCACATGTTAGCAGATCACCAGAATTTTTTTCTCTTAAGTATTTATGTTATAGTGAAAATAGTAGTTTTTTTTGAAGGTATACACAATAATTTGATTTTTTTTTTCCAGATCATGTCGGCTTGCTTGACATTGTCCACCTTAAAAATCCACGATGCCCCTCCTTTCCACATACACAGACACACTAACTTTCAATTAAATGTATCTATTTCCCTCTGCAGTGGGCCCTCCCCAGTCATGAAAAAAAAAAAAGTGTCTTTTGGAACTTAAATATTTTTTCGTTCTTTAATAACTGTACCTTTATTAAGAAGTAACATTATCCTGCATATAATTTTAAATGCCAATATCACAAATACCCATCATTATCTGTAAATGTCACTTCATGCTTGCTTATCCTTTCATCATAATCTCCAATAGCAACAAATATTTGTCATAGCATTTTTTTTCCCCACAAAGTTGAACAATTTACCTTTTCCAGTCATGAGCTGTAATACATTGAAATAATTTTCCTGGAAACTAATATGCCTCTTTCTCATGTCTGCCTGGCCAGCTTTTACTCCTTTGAGGCTGAGGTAGATTTGTGGACACAGATGCCCAAGAAATTTGACCAAATCCACCATTCACTCCCCAAGATACTGGTTGTATGTGTATTATTAATTTTTTAAAAGAATAAACTACTTGGCTTGGGAGATAGAGAATCACTAGCTTTGATTATTCGATGACTTACTTAGCTTGACTATTTAGTTTGACCTTTAGTACCATAAATATAAAAGAAGTATAAACTCAATGAGCGGGTCAGAATATTTGCCATTTTGAACTGTTATTTTTTTTTTTTTGGTCTTTAGTATATTTTAAACATTTAACAGAAGAAAAAGACAGTTACTAGGTTCTTAAGATTTTCTAGCATTTAGGATATTACTCATCCCATCACTTCATATTCTGCATTGTCCTCAATTCTAAAAAAAGCTTAGTAAACCATCAAAGTAAATCCTTTGCAAGGGGGAAGAGATAGGAAAGTAATGTGTGTGTGTGTGTGTGTGTGTGTGTTCATGCATTTTCCTTAATTCAAAAGGTAATAAAGAGTAATCTGTTGTTTCTTATGAATCAATAGTGGAAATCTCTCATCAAAATCCCATTTAATTTATATTTTTTCAGAGATACAGCTTCCCATATATTTTTTTTAGGTTTATTTTTATTTATGCATACAGAACGGGGGTACAGACCAGAGGTGCAGGGCCTGTGAGAAAATTCACCAGAGACAGACTGGTAACAGAATAGGCAGACAGACCAAGTACACTGCTGAAGGGAGCAGCAGGTAAGACAGGAGAGGTCTGCTGTGACATCTGGGTCATTTTCTGGCTGGGGATCGAATGCAGCATTGAGGTGGCTGAGGCCAGCCTTACTGTGCTGTGCTTTAACCTGTTGTGCCACCTGGGAGGGCCTGCTTCCTTTTTTAGACTTAACATAACAGGTGTCAACCACACTTAACAGTAAACTGTACAGAGGCCCTCACCCTGGAAGGGACTAAATTTGGAGGGAGAAAATCCCAGAAAATTCATATAAACCATGATAAAAGAAAAGAAGGGTCTGGCATAACATTAGTACATTGAGGTAATAAAGTTATCATCCTTACTAAAATCATCAGACATATTAAAGTGATTAATGATGAACTCATTCACAGAATCTGCAGATATCTTACTCATCTCTAAGCAGAATTTTTTCAGTAACCTTTGAATATAGTTATAATTTTGAGAAATCTGGATTTTAGTTATTCAAACCCATTAAGAAATACGATTTACACAAGAGACTCACTGGATTCTTTTTTTGGAAATGTGGGTGTCTTAGGGTAGTTTTTCTTAAATCAACTCTGGCTGAATTTTCTGTGACTGAAGACTTCAAGCACAGATTTCCAAATCTGACTCTGAAGTATTTCAGCACAACTCAACCAAAAGCAAGGGATTAATTACTGACTCATTCGTAAGGTATTTCTAGCAAGCAATGTTTAAGTTCATCTAACTTCACCATAGTTACCAAAGAGATCACCACCCAAGATCACTAGTCAGTCTTGTCTCAGGGTGCCCTGACATATCTGAACTTGTCTTTTGGGTATTCACTTAGTTCCTCGGAAAACTTACAACTCTAACAATATCTCCATAAAATAGCACTTTACCAGAAATTCCTAATAGATTGACTCTGTACTTTCCTGACTTCTCCTGATTTAAGTGCTCAATGACAACTTTAATGATTCTATTGACTAATCACATATGTGAACCCCATCCACTGTGCTGGAATGCACCTGAGTGCATTTTGAGCACATAACCTGAAATATTCTTGCTTGATTAATAGAACCTTTTTTTTTTTCATATATCCAATATATGCCTTAGCAGCCTTAGCTAATTCTTTTGTCTTTTTATAGGGCAATATGTCATAGCTCATATTTAATCTGAATATATTGGAAACAAAATCAGATATCATTAACCTTTTATACTTGTTTTGAATGGCATTTTATATTGACATTTAGGAATGCTGCTATTGATTGTTCCTGAATGATACTTCTCCCCAGGAAATATTGACCTTCAGACAATAACAAATAAGACGTGTACCCAATTATCTTTAATAAAGTCAGCCATTATTAAATGCAGAGACATTAAAGTTGATGTCTCTACAATGACTGATTGTGAATTCAAGGTGGCATAATTCAAAGGAAAACTGTGTTTAACTTGTTGAGAGACCTTCTGCTTAAGGCTCTCTTATCCTCACACTTAGAACTGAATGGAACAGAGGACAAGATTGTTGGATTTGAGGAGTCTAGAAAATAATAGCCCCAAGCATGGGATGAACATCTTTGAATATGTTGAGGTCATCAAGAATAACAACAAGGGAAATGATGGAGAGGAATAAGCCAGAGTCTAAGGTTAAAAAAAAAAAAAAATGAGTGCCCTGGAATGTGACACATGATGACAACAAACAAGAAATAAATGTTAAATTTTTGGAACTGGACACTATTATATATCTCAAGATATTGTGATTGTTAGATAGCACAAAGGAATTAATGTAAGTAATAATAGAGAATGAAGAAGACGCTTAACCCCCACACCCATGGATTGTCCATGTGAAAGAGAACAACCAGCTTCTACTTGAGAGTATCACAAAAGGAAAAGACTTGAGGAATAACCAGGTGTCATTTGAAGCAAGGAAATAGAGTTCCAGAGTACAAAAGAGTTTGCAGTTCACAAAAACTGGATTTCGGAGGACACCATTAAAGTTAGGAATTGTAAGAAGGGAGAGGATCGAATTAGAGGATTTACAAAGCAGAAAGGACTATCAGGCTTCCAAATGAAGTTTAAAATCTAGACGGGTGGGGTAAAATCTAGACGGGTGGGGTGACAGATGGAGTTTAGTCCTGGTAGTTTTCTAGAGGATGAACAATGAGGAATATTCGGGGTTGAAAATAACTAAAACTACAACTAAGGTTATCTTCAATGCAAAACAGACTAGTT